GCATCTGCTTCTGAATTGTAAGACCAATAAACTAACCTTCTGAACTGTAAGACCAATTGGAAATCATGTAATTTGCACAAACAGCAAAATCCTCAAAAGTTAAGTAATTCAGTTTCTTTTTCCCAGTTTCAAACCTGTTGTTGGTAATGAACACAATCGCTGCATACGCCCTGCAATTAAAAATTATATGAACTGAATAAATTTAATTTAAAAGTTCTAAGTAAGGAAAACATAATGAAATATACAGTACCTTCAAATGTCACCATAATTAATTAATATGGAATTTTTTGGCAGTTTTTATTTCGTAATACTTGAAAAGTAGAAACGTTAAGAAAAAACAACACAAACTTAGCAAGATCCTCCCGTAGGCAATAATGAGTTTGAATGTTGTCGACCAGTCGACCGCTTAGTTCTTCTACAGTTTTGAAAACCCGCTTGGCATTGTCAAACTGGAGACAATAGAAAAATGAAATTGTTACAATGTTTGAAATGGATTGATGATGTAGAAAAGAACTTACATTCGCTGGAAGTCCACCCAATGAGCGGAAAGGCATGGATTAATCCAAATGGAAGAATGTGGTGGAGCAGCCCAGGGCCTCTCATGGGCTGAAGCACCACTGATGATGATGAATTTTTAAAGTCCGAAAAGGTCAGTTATTACACAGACAAATGCTCAGAAAGTATACCTGGCGTCGGCAGCTTCGGACAGGTATTCCTGTTTCTTCGCTAAGGTCATCTAGATCTTTTCGACTTCGTGAATTAAGTTTGCGTCCAAATATTTCCCTTATTACAGAAGCATCGAAACTGTAGTATCTAGAGTCAAACAAATATTATGCTTTAGACAAGTTGTTTTTTTAATTTCAGATGTACTAAACAAACTGCAAACAGCTACAAACATTGCCACAATCAATAACATAAAGAAAATGTTAACACTGACCTATGCGTGCTCATCATGTGCTATAAGAAGACTCAAAAATGCTCAAAACTGGGCACAGGCACTGACCCGACAGCGAAATTTTAATGTTTGGACTGGTACTTACTTTTGGATCAACATATCAATTGTTTCAGGGTCAAACTGGTAGACCAACTGGTGGCTGAGTCTTGGTGGTGTTTTCAACATTTCTTCCAGTCCAGAAAAGATCCGATAATGATCGACGATATCACTCAACAGATCCTCCAATGTAGCACCATATGTTTTCAAAGGTACTCTGTTTTGCTTGAGCTTGGCAGCTTCAAGAGCTGTGGAAAATAATAAATTATAAACATTATGTAGGGTGAATTTTTTGTTACTGAAAGTACATGTTTTGAATGCACATGTTTTGATGGTTGTAGTTATAAAGTTATAGTTCAAAGAAATAACTTAAATAGTTTCAACAAATAAGGTGTTTGCCTGATGCGCTAAATGATGTCACCAGCATTTTAATTTTTTTTAAAATAAGAACACTCAATGGGGGAATAAGATGTACACCCAAAGGGGATTCTCTTTCATTTCAAGGATTAAAAAATTATTTTTTAACTTTAAATGAGATTTGTACAGATATTTATGAAACCTTGCATCATTCTAATAAAATTCAATCATTGTTATTGCAATTAGTGCAATATGATTAAATTAATTAATGTTGTATGCAACTGGATATGAATTTTTTTTTCCACTTCATAATAAGCGTCTGCAGCTAATTTTAGAAGAAACAAGAGTTTCTACCAAGAGTTTCTACCTGAGATAAAACAAAAGAAATGTGTCAAGTAATGTCATTTATGGCTATAGCCAGTATAGAGTTGTTAAGATGTCATGCTATTTTTACAGGGATGTACCTTGACTAAATTCCGTCCCACACACATACTCACACCATTTGTATGATACAGATAAATCCCCAAAGTGCTGCCCAGGCCCTCATCCCATTCACACCCCTCTACATTCGCCACCTCCTTCAACTTTGTCCTTACTAACTGTAGGCTAAATTTTAAAATATATATAAGTAGGAGCTAATGTGACCATGTAACACTGGATTCTTAAAAACAGTGATGGTGATTTAGTTCTTTTTTTTTTTTTGGAAATCGAATCAACCTGAATCTGATAAAATATGTCTGCTTTTACCCAAGGATGTGCAATCTTTCATGAGATTTGATGTAACTATTAAAATGATGTTAGAAACATAAACACCAATACATAGAATATAAATATTTCTTTTTAAAATAACGGAAGTCTGATTAACTATTTCCTAAATATTCATTTCAAGGGTGTGGAATATTGTCGTACTTTGTTAATTTTTGGGTGTTTTTAATGAGGACACAAAACATCAAAACGCAGTTCAGTTATACAGTAAAACCTCCGTTTTGAGACCCTCTCTTAAACAACTTCCACCAAAATACGACCGGAAAAAAATTTCACAAATGCTTTGAACAATATAAACGACTCTCTTAAACGACTTCCTCTAAAACGCGACTTGCGACCTTTAAATAATTTAATTCAATTTTACGACCTAGCACCTGAAAAAGTCAGATTTCAAAACAATGCTATATCTGTGTGCTTGAAGAAAACAGTTTCATTTACAACCGTTAACACCAGACCACCTGAGTCACTGTTACTAGCGACAGTCAGGCTTCTTCTTCCCAAGTGGATGATCAGATCAGTGACACTATTCAATGACTGAATAAAAATAATTACAACAATATTAATGCGCTTATCTTATTGATATATAGTTATAACTCTAAGCATGCACTCAGCACTTGCACATGCTTTTAAACAACAACCATACCAGCATTAATTTTTTTTATTTTGGAATCAATGAGGAACAGGAAGATAGTGACTGTATTGGTTGTGAAACAGAGTTTAATCTATATTTCTGAAAGAAAGATGGTAAAGGTAGATATTACCTATACTTAATGGTACATGTACTTTTTAAAATTTATTTTAATTGTTTAATTAATTTTCTAAATGTCGTTTTTTGAAAATGTCCTACCTCTTTTTTAAAACACCCTTTAATTTAAGACCTCATTTTAATGGCAATTTAAAGGTTGTAAAACAGAGGTTTTACTGTATACGTAAAATGTGTTTCATAGATGTTCAAACTACACAAAAGCAGGTAGAAAGTATCACAAAATGCCTTACGAGTACCATAATTATTCTGGTAAAATCTGCTCATATCTTCAGTTACTTTATAATACAATGGTTCTCACAGTTCAATAATTTCTTCAAACATATCTATAACCTAGGGTGACAGTTTTTTTTTATAATAAAAACCAGAAAGGTTCAAAATTTTCTCATTTATAACCAGGAAATATGCAATTGTTTGAAATGATGGGTGCACAAAAATATTTGTGGTTAAAACTTACATAGAGTTTCCTCCTTATATGAAGCATTTTTTAAAAACAAAATAGTATTGTGATGCTAATTAGGATGAGTTGTATATTTTAAACAATTTTTTATTTATTTTCGCTTATAAATCAGAGGTACTCCTCTTTTCTCAAATTAAATTGTTTATTTTCATTTTGTAGTCTGAATAAAACAAAGACTACAGACTACTGGTTCAAACTCACAACTAACAAGGACTAATGCCCGAAAACCAGTGAGCACTCCTCTTTACTGGTAAAAACAGTACTTATATTCAAATAATGGCATTATTGTTCAATATTTAAATATATACCGTTATATACTTAACTGAAATAGTACTAGTAAATATTATTAGGATCCAAAACAAAAAAAGTTCAATTATCAATAGACTCTACTCAGTCAGAGTCAGAGTTAGAGACTGAACTGACTTAGTCAATTTATAATATAATGTATAGTATAGTATACACTATTGACTAAGTGAAATAAGAATAAGGACTAAGACAGTTGAGACTATTTAGCTTGACTAACTAACAACTATTTTTTCTACCAAACTACTGACTACTAACTTAGACTTTGATAATAAGACTTCAGTGTCTAATTAATCTATTTAGAGTAGGGTGAGGGTGACCAAATGTCTCGTAAAAATGTCATTGTCCCATTTTTTCACAATCGTACCCAGTTTCCTGAAAAAGTCTATCTGGACGCCTAAATGCCCTGTTTCTAAACACATTTTCAAATCACTATCTTCAATTTAAATCCTAGACTGCCTAGGCTAGAGAAATTTAATTTGTTGTGTTGTACTATGTTGTAGAATATGTATAATGTATAAATAAATAAGTATTCACTGCAAAATTATTATCGATTATGACATGATATGCCTCAGAGTTTAAATTAAATTAAAAAAGTGTCAAAGGTGAAGTTAAATTTAAAATATAATTTCTTGGTCTCAAAATAATTAAAATGAACATATTTCGGCTTACCCATATTTCAATAAACAGTTTCCAGCTGAGGCCCCTGGACCCCTCTTTAGCTGGAGGGTGTACCTCCAAACAACCCTCCTTGGGTGTGTCATTTTTTTCCAAGTTCATGATTTGATTTGGTCACCCTAATTTAGATTTAGAGTTTAGTCTGCCTAGAGTTTAGAGTCTTAAACTTAAGGAAACTTAGTCTGTCGAACTAATACTAATACTACTACTACTACTACTACTACTAAAAAACAAAAAAAAACAACACGGCCCTAATTTATTAATAATTAATTTACCTGTATGTCCTTTCAACCACAGGTCATAAATATCTGAATTGATGACGCAGTTATTTCCAACAAACACTTCAATTTCATTCATTGTCATACAATTTATTAGAGTTGCTATGCGTTAGCTTACTTACTTTCTCAAACTAACAGTAAGTTAAGAGTTGTCAGAAGTATAATAAATAAAAGAGTAGCTGCCCCTTAACAGGGGAAAGAAGTCACTATGACTATGTACTATGTGTACCTCAGTTACCTCAGGCCTCAGTTGAAGTTGTGAAGGAAGAACAAAACGTTTACGTTCGCAGGCACATTTCTGTATTTATCTATTACATTGGGGCTAATAACACAAGAAAACTCAAATCGACAGTGGGCATTAGTGAACAGTGGAATAGACTACGTCGTGTATTAAAATTTAAATTTTCTGAGGGAAACAATTAAATCGATATCCGATATGTAAATTGGCCTCGTCTTAAATCATACTTAAATTTAAATGTCATTCATGTATGATTTTTTACCCATGCCCCTATCCCTATCATATCACTCCAAAACTAGCCGACTAACAGTAGCCGGTGTTAAATTCAATAACCTGTTGGCAGTTGATCAGTAACAGAAGGATTATTAAAGAGCAGTAATATGTTAAGATGATGTGTATTATTAGTATTGTAAGCCATCTCTATTCAGACTATTCACTGATACTAATTTCATATAGTTATAGTCCTTAGTGAAGTGTAGGAAATGACAATAATTACACTGTCGCCACACACTAACTCTCAGTTCACACACTGGCAGTCACACTGTGACACTTACGCTCATATATTATATATATGTATATTATATAGCATTAGGCCCTACTTATTTATACATTTTGATACATTAGGTTGACTATAAAAATGTAACACAATTTGGTAAATTCAGACAATCCCCGCCTTGTATTTTCCTTGGCCGCCATCTTATGTGAAAGGTCAAGGGTCATGCAAACAAGATGGCTGTGTAAAAAACCCACGTCTGCTAAAATCTTAAGCCTAAACCAAACACTAAAACTCAATCTAAACCGGACCCTAAAACTATCCCTAAACCTAACCGCCTAACCTGAACCCTAAAACTATCCCTAAACCTAACCTGAACCCTAAAACTATCCCTAAACCTAATCTGAACCTAAACTATCCCTAAACCTAACCTGAACCCTAAAACTATCCCTAAACCTAACCTGAACCCTAAAACTATCCCTAAACCTAACCTGAACCCTAAAACTATCCCTAAACCTAACCTGAACCCTAAAACTATCCCTAAACCTAACCTGAACCCTAAAACTATCCCTAAACCTAACCTGAACCCTAAAACTATCCCTAAACCTAACCTGAACCCTAAAACTATCCCTAAACCTAATCTGAACCTAAACTATCCCTAAACCTAACCTGAACCCAAAAAATTATCCCTCAGCCCAACCTGAACCCTAAAACTCCAAACCCTTAAGCCTGAAACTAAGCCTAAACCTAAAGTAAAAAACAAATGTGTGGCTGCAGCTACACACTGTGGTAAGAAAACTGTAAAAATGAAGAAAAAAAATTCCAACAAACTAATTGTAAAATAATGAAAACCCAACTTACAGTTTCATAGAATACACTTTTACACACTTAAATTTCAGAGTCCACCAAAAAGAAAATTAAAAAGTCGTCAGAAAATCAATAAAATACAATATCAAACCCATTTTCTGAAATGGCAAAAAAATTAAAATATAATAATTACCCAACTAATGAAATTTTAAAATTATAATTAGATATAACCAACCAAGAAAATTTTAAGTAAAACATTCCATCATCATATTAAGCAAAATTTAACTCTAGTAATAACAAGGGGAGTGAATCCAAAACAGAAACTTACCAAAAATCACGAAATGACATCATGGCGCGGATTGTCTGAATGGCCCACAATTTAAGTTCTTGAACAAAATGTTTCTATAATTGTGAAATTTTAAAAATAAATATTCTTAGAAATCTCTTGTGGCCTAACTTAAGACTGAATCTGAGAAATGAAGTCAACGCCAGGGAAAACTTTTCAAAAGTTTAAGAAAGAAAATCAAACAGAAGATATAAACAGAGTAGGATCTCCTCAGGCAGTTTTGGCAGATGAATACTTGAGTGCCATCAAACTAGTTGACGTCTTTGTTGCCAACATTGCCGACAAAAAACAAACTGCTAGAATCGTCAAGTATGTTATTAAATTATTAGAACTTAAAAATAAAATAGCAGCTATAAATAGACAACAGCGTAGATAAGTTGAACAATCTTTTAGGTAATGTAAAATTTGAAAAACTGTAGATATTTAATAAGTTCTTTACACTGAAATAATTTGAGTTTTCATGAATATATTTCCCTTGGTTATAGTTAACTTATAATTAAGTGCAAAGCTGTTTACTTGTACTTCTTCCATACCCTTCTTGTTAATTTCACCCCCTTGACAATATATATATTTTTTTTAATATTTAGGGGTTTTACCACCCAAAAAAAAGGCAATACAACCTGCATCTTATCTTTATTTTGCTTACTAAAAATGTCTCATAATTGACAGAGAACTCATGACAGTCTCACCCTTAGGTGACCTGCAACATTTAAAAAGGGTGAGAACTTCAAGTGACCATGGTACGAGTTCAATTTTCATATTCACTGTTTTGCAAGAACATAACAAAGACAACTTTTCTAGAAGTAAAAGTTTGCATCCAAAATGGTGGAGCCATGTTAAAAAAGCATCATCAGTTGTTTTTTTTAAATTTATTTTTATAAATCATAATACAGTTATTTCAGATGCATGTTATTTGTTTTAGTAGTAATTATTCAAATTCAACATTGATTTTTTAGGGAAAATATGTTTTAGGATTGTGTGACTGTTTAAATAGGTAAAATTAAATCATGACATGTACATTCTTTATGTGGTAAAGGTGGCCCACTGCAGGTGGTTCTTTTCAAGAGTCAAAGTGGTCAGCAAATGTTAGAAAATGTGAATAGTGATAGCAAACCACAAAGAGTGGTTGATGGGTTAGGAGCTCCTTATCTAGTCAAAGTGCCTGCAACTCCACCGCTCACACGACAGCAGTACTACGAGGCGATAAAATATTGGCCAGTTAATTTTCATGAAGACAAAGAGTAAGCTAGTATCATTTTGTTAATGAAGAAATTTTTTTTTTTTAAATTACATTATACCAGTATATAAGAGATGATGTATTTTTGTTTAAAAATGTCTTCAGTGCTGCTTGTTTAAGCTTCGAATTCTATCTTCAGCTATCTAGCTTTAATTATCATGTAACCATCTATTTATAATTCATTGAGATGTTCTTATACGGATTATGGTCATTTGCTATTATTAATAATTTCAGGATTGCTGCATTACTGTCAGTGAACTATTTTAGTAATGAGGACTTACAATACATAGAAAATTACATGAATTTGGCTATTAGACTTGCCAGAACTGCAGAAACAAAAATGCAGGTTTGGAAATTATTTTACAATTTTAAAAAAAATAAAGAAATATAAATCTGAACAATTTTATTCTTTATGTCTAATAACATTAAAGACTCTCTAGTACTTGATATATATATTTATATATATATATATATTGGAAGATTGAATTAGTTTAATATAACATGCTGTGTGGTGCTGTTTAAAATTAAATCTCTTTACATAAATTGCAACCTTTTACCTTGTGCTCTGTCTTAATAAACAGGATTTTTAAAAACATGGTCTTATATTTAACACCCCCCCCCCTCCAAAAAAAAATAAATCCCCTTCTATCCCCACTTAAGCTTGATTTCACTTTTTGAATGTCTGAATAGTTGGCCAAGTGTTAGATACCTCTTATCAATGGCCAACAGATGAAGCAGAGTTTGCTAAAAGAATGCTGGTAATAGGAGAAATGAGTCATAGATTTAACTTGCTCGCAACGTGGGATTCGTTTAGCATATGTTTTTTTTAGTTTCTGTGTATGATAACAATTTTTGTACTATTCATTTTACAGTTACCAATAGGAGCTGTTGTGGTCAATTCATCAACCAAAGAAGTTGTGTCGGAAGCTTATGATTTACGTCAAGCAGGTTATCCCCTTCAGCACGCTGTCATGGTAGCCATTGACTTAGTGGCCCACTCTCAGGGAGGAGGCATGTGGCAGTTTGATGGTAATTGTTGAACATGTCCCGTTTTTAAAAACTTTATTTCTTTGTCTGTCAGTTACTGTTTTAAAATTGACATTTAATTTATGGGATTAATATTTCTGTAACTTTAAGATTAAAGCTACACGAGCCCTCTTATTTGAAATGCGCCTGAAGGCTAATATAAATTCAAGAATTTGAACTTACTTTTATCATAGTTTTCATTATTATAAAGATTTCATTCAAATTAGAAACTAAATTAGAAACTAGAAAGATTCAACATTTTGTAAAAGCCTACCAGTTAGTTTGATACAGTGCTGTTAAGGTAAAATTAAATGTTCGTTCTTTTGGTTCACAACTTTAGAACACGAAAAAATTTCTCAGTCCCACATCATTACTTTGATCATGATTAAATTGGGAAATAATCTATTTTTTATATGGAGAATGGGGTAAATGTAATCTGATTTGTCTAATTTTACATATTTTTTTTTTCAAAATGTTGCTGCATATCTTCTGACAGATCATTGAACTGCTTTGGTTATTTCAGATTCTCATCCATCTTTGAAGCATGCTACAATGACAGGAGCAAATGATAGCAATGGCCCTTATCTCTGCACGGGCTTTGATATTTTTCTAACTCAAGAACCTTGTGTTATGTAAGTCAAAATCATTTATAAAATGTAGATGATAAAATTATTTTATTCAAATAATTGTTTTTTTATTTGTTTTCTTTGTTCCTATGTTCTTGCAAATATAATCTTATAACTATAAACATTTTATTTTACAAAATTGCTAAGTTATGCAGCATGCATATGATTAGAAAATGTTTTGCTACATGAGAAAGTGGGAAAAGATTGTACCACATTTTGTCTATTTAGTTATGATGAAACAAAACTTTAAGACGACTTATAGAAGAAAAGTAATTTTATATTCTTTTAGAAGAACTTTTTCAAAATATTGAATCTAAATTTCTAAACAAATTCATTTCCTTTCCTGCCAAGCATCTAGGTGCACATAATGCTTATAAGAAATAAGCTACAGTCCATGCCATGAAATAACTGGTCTATTAATTGCATTCTAAATATGTCAAATTTGCCTGAACAAGTTAGCTTTATTTTTTATGAAACAGATATGAATGAATTTCTAATTTAGTTCTTATTAATTTCCAGGTGCAGTATGGCATTAGTACATTCCAGAATTTGCAGAGTTTTTTATGGTTCGAGTCACCCTGACGGAGCCTTGGGTTCTCACCACAAGATCCATTGTCAGCCGGGACTGAACCATCATTATAAAGTTTTTAGGAACTGCCTCAGTCAGGAAACAGAGAAACTTTACAAAGACAGATGATGTATATTTTGTAAATGGTTTTGTCAAGACAATAAAATTTATGTGAAATTTAGATTGATCTCAGAGTCTTGTTTAATATCTTAAACAGCTAATTAGTGTCATTAATCAGTGGATGGTTGACAGCCAATTAGTGTCAGTGGATGGTGGACAGCAAATTAGTGTCATTGGTCAGGAGATGTTGGAAAATGTTGGACATTTCTGAATAAATTACATCTTACATTTATCTTTATCTTATTTTGATACTGAAAGGGAGTAGGGAGCTTTAGTAAATGATTACATAATAAAAAGATGGAATTCTATATGGAACCTTACATACTTTATATTAGTATTTGCTTGTTCACTGAGATGGAGATTACCTACTACCCAGGGGCATCTACCCGTTGCCCCCACCACCCAGAGTAGTGGAAGCCAACACCCCCCCCCCCTCCTCCTGGACTTTGGTCAATTCTGTGAATGATGATTGAGATTTAATTTGATATTTTACCACAAATATTAGTAATACAAGGATTTACAGTAACATTTGGTAACAAAATTGTTAGAACATTGTTAACTCTTCCAAAATGAATTGATAGCTATATAATATCATTAATAAGGATTATAATCCTCACATTTTTTAGCAAATCGAATTATTATCTATGATTTTTCAAGAAATGAATTGGGTTGATCGGTAAAAAATGTGTCACATCCAAACATGTAGATTTCGAGTTTAATCTCCAGCACAACTAAACTCTTGCGATACACCTGGTCTTGACTAGGGAAACTGAAAAAAAAAAAAAAAATGTAAAGGGGGGGGGGGGTATCAAAACACCAGCAGGAGGGTGGAAATTTAAAAAGCTGGCATGAGGAATTTTATCCTTTCCCCCAACTCATGATTGGAAGCAGCTACTTCCTCACCCTCTGTGAAGACGCCCATGATACAACCATTTCAATTAGTGAAGCTTCTTTAACTCGCGATTTTGCAAAAGAAATGTGAAATGAATGTGACCATATAATTTTGGACTAATTTGAATAGTATAAAGGATAAGTGCAAAATTCAAGGAGCTCTTTTTAAAAAAAGTTTGTTCTCTTGACCACACATATCAACATCAACGATTTAACAAACACCCTGTTTACACGTCAACTTTCGCTTTTCAGTGGCATAACTTAAACCACATCAATTTCTACTGAAAATCGCTATAAAAATATTTAAAATAGTAAATATAAATGGTTCTATTGACTTTTTAAATCATAGAACATGAAATTTGACTATTTTATTACGTCCATTTCGGGCTTTTCGATATTTCTAAGCCTTCAAATATTCATCACCTTTTTCAATAATGCCATTTTTGTACACGGGAGCTTTGACCCATTTATGGATAGCAACCTTTTTTCTATCAAATGGCAAGGGCATCTTGATTTAACCAGAGAAGAGGTAAGTACATCTATAAAATCAAAGCGAGAAGTCCGGTCAAGAATATGGAGGTTATCAGTTTTCAGAATTCAGTTTTAAACCAGTTATCACTAACTGAATCAGTTATAGTTTATAGTTATCATTATCAGTTTTTAAAAATCCATTCATACTATTTTGGGTAAATTTACGCTTTCCACACCACTTATTTCCCACAGGCGCCATCTTGTTTGTCATGGCAACGACATGGCGGCTGTGTAAAAAAAAATTAGTGCAAGACACATCCTGCTAAAATTGAGAGGGGATAGACAGAGATGTGTTGTTTTAGCTCTTACTGAGAGAAATGAAAGGTAACCAAATGAAAATAGGAATAAAATGTTCAAATTTATTGAAATAAAATTTCAGCTGGTGCATTTATTGGTAAATTTTGGGTTTACGGTATGGGTTTTGCCAAAAGTTTTCTTACCCTAAGCGCAGTGACTTCACTTTGGGGAATCCCAACTTAGGGTGAATAGACCTATTCATTGTAGGGCCTCAATGGTGTGTGTTTTAACATTCCTGTTCTTTATTGAGCATTACTCGCGTCATAAACGATACGGTTAATATGAAGTATATTAAAATGAAATTTTCCATTTATTTGTATTAAAATTCAACTAACACGTTTCAAAAGAGAGGAAAAAAGAAACACATCCTTGCTAGCACTTGGTGATACCCCAAGACCCAACACTGGTGGAAAAAAAAGACGTGCGCCAAAATTGCTGTATTTTGATTAGTTGAAATCAAAATATCTGTATATTGAAACTTCGGTTACAAAAGGGAGACTACTGCTTAAATTGCATTTGGAATCATCTTCTAGGGACTGGGAAGGGGAGACCCCCTCCTCCAACCCCTCCCCTCACTTTAAATACTAAAATAAGAAACAAAGAAATCCTCTTGGGAGGGGAGACCCCTCCCCAATTTAATAAAAATATCAAATAAGAAAACAATTATGAGAATACAAGCATCAAAATCTTTTTATTATGGCCCTGGGGGAACCTCCATGACCTATATACTGCGGAACACATCGTCAGCCTTACCGTGAACCCAAAATCAGCCCATTAATTTTGTGGCAAACAGCAACTTTATTGTATCCCTTAAATTTAGTATACACTTTGTTGAAGGTTACACCAAAAATAAAATCCAAAAATTGTCCGAAAAATCATTACAATACGCATTTTCCAAAATACCAGAAAATTTAAATATTATAATTAACCACCCAATGAAATTATAATTTAAAACATTGCATCAGCATGTTATTATTTTTATAATAGAAAAGTCGACTCTAGTAACAATCAAAGAATAAAGAATCCAACACAGTAGCTCAAAGTGGCTCGGATTGCGTAAGTTGACCCTATTTTGATACTGATACTACAGTTGAGTACAGCACTTGATGCCAGTGCACTGTGCCTGTGCAGTAATCAATACATTTGCTGGAGAAGCTATCTATCTTGATTGCAATAATATTATAATGATAATGTCATCTGCACTTGCGCACAATTTTATTCAGTTATTCAGTATCAATAGTAGAATACACGCAAACAAAGACAAATTGACCTTGATATCCACCTAATAACGACAGTCATCAAATTTTAACATTTATTATGTTCCCTAAATAATTATTACAATGTTTTCAAAGTCAGCTGACCCCAGACAAGCTTCAGGTCTATTTCATACTGTATGTTGATTACTTTAAAGTCTTATCATATTTTATAATAATGAAAAGAATTATCAATTGACAAAAAAAAAGTAAATTTATGATTATTATAGGTTTTTAAAAAAATCAACAACTACATTATTAGGGTTTTGATAGAAACAATGTGAGCAAAGATGGCGTTGGTTTCCTTTTTTTTCTTCTTCTAAACTATGTCCTTTTACAAGCATGATACTCTCTCCTGAAGCATGATATTAATGATAGGTAAAAGCAACCCATGCTAACTTGATTTTCTTGGTACTCATAAGTGCAATTTGTTCTAACAAAGATGAACAAGTTGACTTGAATAATGACTATGAAATCACAGGCAGGTCTGAGACACTATACAAAATATGTTTATGATTATTTTGGAGATTTAGAAAATAATTTTGAATTATACTTTTGTCAAGGTTTTTGAATCTTTTATGCATGAAGTGAATTTTGTTTTTTGACTATGGAAGTCATAAGATTGCAGTGCAATGCATCCGATAACACACTGAGATTGTAAAGCAAAGTGAGAACAGAATGTAGGGAGTGATCACTTGGGTTTCTTGCAGTTTCTTGGCCAATTTTGTTAGTCAGAACAGGGAACACCCGCCAGAATTGCATGTGAAATTATTTAGTTTCCACACATTGTCAGAGTATATCTTATCAAGCTCTGTGTTTCCTTAGTGAAAGATGATATCTTATCAAGCTCTGTATTTGCTCAGTGAAAGATGATATTTTATCAACCTCTGTGTTTTGCTTAATGAAAGATTATATCTTATCAAGCTCTGTATTTTCTTAGTGAAAGATGATATCTTATCAAGCTCTGTGTTTGCGTAGTGGAAGATGATATTTTATCTAGCTCTGTGTTTGCTTAGTGGAAGATGATATCTTATCAAGCTCTGTGTTTGCTTAGTGAAAGATGATAATTTTTCGGCTCTGCTTGTTTTTGTTTTTTAAAAAGTACTTCTTGATTGACTGTAAATATGACTGTTCCATTGTGCTTGTGAAAATGTTAGATATAATAACATCTGTTACACATTAAATAAAAAGAGATTGACATTTTACCCCAAAAAACTATCACAAATAATATATAAATTAAAAAATAAAATCTTCAATAAATCTGTTTTGAATTTTTACTCAGCTCTAGATCTCATGTAAATAAGTGAAGTAAAATTTATAATTAAATTCATTCAAAAATTGCACTTGTAGTATGGAGGGGAAAAAAATGATTCCTTTGTTAAGAATTTATTCTAATTAACTTTCTCAACCACTAACATCTTATGGTTATCTTGATTGAATCCTTGATTTCATTTTTCAGGTGGAATTGCTGGGGGATCGCCATCTTATGGTCACAACCAACGCTAACGAACAATATCGATGTATACTACCAGATAGCAAGAAACCATCTAATGTAAATAATTTTTGAAGAAAAAATCCTTACCTATCTTTAGTTATGAAAAATAAAGTTACCTTTTTTTCTCCTCACGGTAATATTCTTGACCTTACATTATTATAGCATCATCTAAAATGTCAATCTTTATTGTGTTTATTTATCAGCTGAATATTAAAAATCAAAAAGTTTTTTTGTTTTTTTTTATTTAATATATAATGCATTTTCACAGATTTGTAAAACGAAATATAAGCCATTAGTGAGTCTTTAAACAAATTTTAAAAGAATAATAATAAATTTCATATACCATTTAAAACAAAAGTTATAAAACTTAATCCTCAATTTATTACAGGATGGAGGTTCATCGCCGTCTGGACCTTCAGTTGATGAATTAATGAAGCCAATGTTCAAGCAAGCTCACTGCTCATATCGAGTAAAATTCTTTAACATTTCTCTTAGCTGCTGTGTGTACTTCTATTAAATAGCTGTTTTGTAACATATCTCTTAGCTGCTCTGTGTGCTTATATTAAATAGCTGTTTTGGTGAACAATTAAAATAGATTAAATTTTTTGGAATAACACAACTAAGCCTTCAAATCAGTCAATCATTTTATTTATGTCATAGAATTTTTTTTTTATCCCTTCTGCCAGTGATCAAAGCTGCTTCTCTAATTCTCTTTATTGAATTGAAATTGATCAAAAGAAGACAAAATGTATTCTATTTTCAAATCCTTTTTGTTTTGTTATGGTTCTGGCTGGAAAAACTTTCTGTCGATTAATTTACCCACTTACCGTCAACGAGCTGAAACTTGGCACAAAGACTTGTTGCCAATGACAACACATTCTATGACAACTTCAGCCCCACCCCCCAAACCAAAAGCCCAAAAATCAGTTTTTCTTGTTTTTCAAGGTGAAGATGAAGGAAATATGATGCCACTGATTTCATGAAATAAAATTCCTGATAACTGCGCTAAATGAGATTCTTTTTTAAAAATGGCAAGGGTAATGTTGTCTTTTGTTTTTATGAAGTAGTTGGTGTAATAAATCTGCGTCATAAGAGCCAGTGGGTCATTAGAATATTACTATAAAATAAAATAATAAAAAATGTGTTGAAACGATTCATAGAAAAAACTTTGTTTTCACGTGTTGTTTAATTTTTTAATATTTCAAATTCTTAGACAATGTGCTACGGCATAAGCAAAAATAGTTTTTCAAATAAAAATAAAGAGATGATATAAGAATGGAATATGGGTATTTCAAGGTTGATGCGATGATCACAACATTAATAAAAAACACAAACCCTGCTTATTGTTCAAGGAGAATCTGGATTCCATGGGCCGTCCTGGTGCATCTCAACAAAGGAATAATGGCTGTCGAGTGTGAACATTGCCCGTGTTGAAGGAAATCTGCATTGTATCACTGTCCCATTCATGAGTTAATAACAAAAGAAACGTGTCATCTGTTTTCAGATAGAGAGTTACTGGACCGTGGAACTATGCCACGGTAAACATTTGAAGCAGTACCACGAGACAAAAGAGCAGGGAATGGTGAGGGCAAGTTCTCTTTTATTTCCTTCTTATCAACTTAAATCAAGTAAAAAGTCAAATTAATGAATCGTCTGTTTCCCAAAGGCTGCACCTTAATTTAAATTAAGTACATTAGGAAATGGTGTCAGCGAGCCGTTAAGCTGGATTGCTCTTAATGCTCTTCCCCAAAGCACACTCCCTTCTTCAAGCATGAAAAGTCCCCTATCGGGCTGCAAAGGTCTCATGCTAGGAAAGCCCCTGCCTGTAGCATCACTCAACTAGCTTTATATCATATAGGCCATGTCAGCCTAAGGACAACAGGCCTGTTGGGGATGTTGCTCTGACAACATGGGAAGTTGATTTCCCCAGGGGTCAGGATGATGTATTTACTTCCTAATATCTCCCCCCACCAATCCCGGGAACCTAAATCAAATACATTGTTGGATCACTAACAATGATGGTTGTTTTAAGTATCAATTTGTGTGAGTTAGTCTTTAAATCTGATATCAATTTGTCTGATTTAGTTTATAAATCTGATGATATCAATTTGTCTGATTTAGTTTTTAAATCTGATACCAATTTGTGTGATTCAGTTTATAAATCTGATGATATTAATTTGTCTGATTTAGTTTTTAAATCTGATACCAATTTGTGTGATTCAGTTTATAAATCTGATGATATCAATTTGTCTGATTTAGTTTTTAAATCTGATACCAATTTGTGTGATTCAGTTTATAAATCTGATGATATCAATTTGTCTGATTTAGTTTTTAAATCTGATACCAATTTGTGTGATTTAGTTTATAAATCTGATGATATCAATTTGTCTGATTTAGTTTTTAAATCTGATACCAATTTGTGTGATTCAGTTTTTAAATCTGGTGACATCAATATGTGTGATTTATTCTTGTGATTATTTCAGCAACCAAAAGTACAAGAATATTACCTTGGATTTGGCAATCACAGAGAGAAATTGAAAGGTAAATAAGAACAATGTGTAAGCTTCTATCAAATCTGGAAAACAGTTTTTTCTATATGAATTAAAAAGTAAAGAATATTCATCCTCTTGACAAAGTATTATTATAAAATAATTTTAAAAAGTTGTGTAATAATTTTTTAATTTTTTTGTCACATAATGTAACACTCACCATGTAATGTAACACTCATCACGCAATGTAATACTCATCTTGATATCAAATTTCTCTTTCTGTGCATTTTTATCATGGAAATTCAAAGCAGAATATCACAGCAGTGTAGTTCAATGAATGATTAGAAGAGTTCATTAATGAGTTTACTTCTCATCTGCATTTCTTTTTATAGAAGTATGCTTAATAAATAATAACATATGATCTGCTTTCTATTTTCTACTTTAAAAACTTGTGGTTACTTTTGATTACCTTATTAGTTACTTCTGATTACCTTATTAGTTACTTCTGATTACCTAATTAGTTACTTCTGATTACCTATTTAAAGTACTCATTGTTTATGTAGATAATATCATTTGCTTTAGTTTTAGAAAATGTTTCAAGTATCACCTCTCTGTTGTCAGATGAAGGCAAGCTAGTCGAAGAAGCCACGATACCTCTCCGAGATGTTGACGGTGTCATGCTGCCATATTATGAAATCATAATGGATGACGGCACCAAATGTGACCTGACGGGCTTGCCAAGGAAATCCCACGTATTGTACGTGTGTCAGCCCGAGGGGCGGGGTGAGGTGTATGGCTTCAAAGAGAGCTCAACTTGTGAATATGAAATTATTGTTCTCTCAGCTTTGCTGTGTAAGCATCCCAGCTACAGGTGAGACATTAGATCTATTGAATTATTCAAACATCTTTGCCTAAGTGTCTTAAACCAGGATTCTCAAACTACAATCACCAAAAATACATCAAGTATTATTTAGCCAGCCCAAGGAGGCATAGCACATCATATACATTATTATAGAGCATTTTAACAACAATCACTTTGCAAGAGCGTTATCTTTGAGGGCCACAGGTTCGTGAGCCATTTCATAAAGCATATCTGCTAAGAAAACATTTTCGGAGTCACAGACAGGGGGAGGTTATGATAACTCCATCATAGATTAGTAAAAACAATAAAAATTTAAAACTGAAAGACGCATATTTATTCATTCAGAGAGCCACAGGCAACTCAGGTGCTGTAGGTTGAGGACCATTGCCTTAGAAAAATGGAATAACCAATTTGTTGCAAATTTACATGTTTTTAAAAATTCTTAAGTCGTGTTTTTTATCATTTGAGCCAAGAGGTATGAAAGATTTGTAGACAATCCAACAAGTGTTATTTCTTGCCTTAGTGTATTCAACTCTTAGACTGTTACAGGACTAACAATCACAAAGTAATAAAGAACAATTAAAGAAAAGTAAAAAAAAACAATTAAAGATATCAATGTTGCTGAATTGTTAAAGGATTTGCTTTGATTCTGGTACATCCACAAGAAAACATTGATCACACGCTCTCTAGCAGACCTGTTTACTCTTACGATTTTGGCGTACAATGTACGATTTTGAGGTGTATACATTATATATAATGTATGTTTATTTTTTAATATTAAGATAATGTATTGAACAATTTTGTGATGATATTGTACGATTTTAAGAGTTTGAGAGTAAACAGGTCTGCTCTAGTACCACCACCGGCACATAAAGTAAAGATGCATTCTAAAACCCAGTGGCTCTCACATTGTTGGCCAGTTCTCCATGAGAATGTACCAAATTAATAATTGTACATTTTTTTAAATTTTCACTGTGTTACAAAAAATAATTAATTAGATTAAAGCAAGAGATTGCATAGTTTTTCTCTCATTGCTACTAGTTTGCAAAGGAACCAATTGAAAATGATTATAACCGTTGTAATAATACGGCAGCATAAAAATGTATGAAGTTTAAGAGATCTTATCATGCCTAACTTCTAACTCTTTTGTATTTTTAAACATAAAATGTTCCTTTAAAAAAATAGGCCTAAAACCCAGCCTGTAAGTGAAATAAGATGTCATGCCATGTTCGGCTCACCCCTAAAGCCAAGGGAGCTTACCAGTGTTGAGTATGAAGCAAGATATTTACAGAATGCTGGACAGGTCAAGTTGTTTTCAGTTATATACTTTTCCATTAGTTTAAACGTTTAATCTGGGGAAGGCGTGACTCTTAAATACTCAAGTCAATGACAATAAATTTAGATGATGTCCGTCAGTGTCATGGAGAACTTTTTAACAAAATTTTGTTTAATTGGAGAGCTAATATTGAGATCCATCTCAGAATGTCACAAATTGAAATGAGAAGGAAAACAGAAATTTCAGTGTGAATAAAATGAATTACTTACTGAGTGAAACAAAATTCAATCTGCATCACAAGAAACCTCTGGATTATTCCATGTCAGAAGGGTTGGACTGTGATAAAGCTTATAAGTAGATTAATGAGACACAAACAATGGACTGTGATAAAGCTTATAAGTAGATTAATGAGACACAAACAATGGACTGTGATAAAGCTTATAAGTAGATCAATGAGACACAAACAATGGACTGTGATAAAGCTTATAAGTAGATTAATGAGACACAAACAATGGACTATGATAAAGCTTATAAGTAGATCAATGAGACACAAACAATGGACTGTGATAAAGCTTATAAGTAGATCAATGAGGCACAAACAATGGACATACGTAAAGAGCTTTCATCAGGTAGGACACGTACATTACGTAAATGTAATTGACAAACCTATGAAAATGTTTATTGTTCCGCTAAAAATGTGCCGAAACGTTTGAATTTGTATTTTTTGTGTAACCTTAATTATAGCTCAACATATATTGTTTTATTTACACAAATTGTGTGTGTCTCATTGTGCTGGGTTATCCAATAGAACTTTTAAAGATAAAAATTTCCCATTTTCATTAGTGGCATTTTGCTCTTTTTCATTTGATGAAACTTCAGGAGTTCCTTACCCAAGAAGTGCCTAGGGACACCGAAGAAGTGAGGAAGCCCAGATTCATCCGCAAGCCGCCGACAGGAGAGAAAGATGCAGCCGAGCTAAAGGCACTGGAAGAGCAACAATCCCGTCTCAGTGACATCACTGATAAACAAACTCTAAGGGCTTTTCTAACTGGTAGCCAGTGTTTAAGAGGGGTGAGTCGTTTTCTTTAAATTAAAAATAATTATGGGATAAGGAGATGTAAGAGAGTATAAGTAAGGATTTGTAATGGTGGTATATGTGAGGATTTGTAATGGTGGTATACATGAGGATTTGTAATGGTGGTATATGTGAGGAGTTGTAATGGTGGTATATGTGAAGATTTGTAATGGTGGTATAAATGAGGATTTGTAATAGTGGTATAAATGAGGATTTGTAATGGTGGTATAAATGAGGATTTGTATTGGTGGTATAAATGAGGATTTGTAATAGTGGTATAAATGAGGATTTGTATTGGTGGTAAATGTGAGGATTTGTAATGGTGGTATATTTGAGGATTTGTAATGGTGGTATATGTGAGGATTTGTAATGGTGGTATATGTGAGGATTTGTAATGGTGGTATATGTGAGGATTTGTAATGGCGGCATAAATGCGGATTTGTAATGGTGGTATATGTGAGGATTTGTAATGGTGGTATATGTGAGGATTTGTAATGGCGGCATAAATGCGGATTTGTAATGGTGGTATAATATGTGAGGATTTGTAATGGTGGTACATGTGAGGATTTGTAATGGTGGTATAAGAGAGATTGTGGGATATGGTGTTTTTTTAAAGAATGAATTCAACTCTTTACAGTATGAGATAAGTCATTTAGTTTAGTTTATTTTTTTGTATGTTTTCGCTGAAGAAAGCTTTCTGCTGACATGGATCTTGTTTTGTAGTGCCAATGTCTCTAGGTTTTGTTCTCAACCCCCCCCACACCCACAACCTTATTATCCTGTTATGGGACTATGAGCGAGCCTTAAGTGTAATGAAAATATAGAGAGATAGTAAATTATAATAGAGCGTTTTGAGCCAGGGTAAATTGCTGGGAACTAATATAGAAAATAGGTCAAGTTGAAATATATTACTACATGATTAAAAGACATTTCTTTTTTGACACTATATACGTCTGGAAGTATAGTTATAGCCCAGTTCCAAGTCTTAGTGTTGTTTTTTTCACAGTTGCATTCAGAACAAATATAACAATACAAACTATTCTTGTCTCTTTAATGAACCCCTGTAAGAAATGATACAACGCAGTAACCTGTGTGTTTGTAACTCTCTCTCTCTCTCTGACAGGGCAACCTATTCTTGTCTCTTTAATGAACCCCTGTAAGAAATGATACAACGCAGTAACCTGTGTGTTTGTTACTCTCTCTGACAGGGCAACCTATTCTTGTCTCTCTAACCTGTGTGTTTGTTCCTCTCTCTCTGACAGGGCAACCTATTCTTGTCTCTCTAACCTGTGTGTTTGTTCCTCTCTCTCTGACAGGGCAACCTATTCTTGTCTCTCTAACCTGTGTGTTTGTTCCTCTCTCTGACAGGGCACCGGATGGTGGAAACATGAAGTTTGTTTTGGCAAGTTTGCCAAGCAGTTCCATGCTGTAAGTGTCAGTGACAGAAATAAGTAGCAACTCTGTCACTATGGCAGTTCTGAGTAATGTCCAAGTTTTATTTATACATACACTCATGTCATTTAAACATAATACTTAACATGTGATCATTTTTTTTAATCATTTAAACGCATGCTTGAAATATGATAATTTTTTTAATCATTTAAACCCATCAGACTTGAAATGTGATAGTTTTTTTAATCATTTAAACCCATCAGACTTGAAAAGTGATAGTTTTTGTAATCATTTAAACCCATCAGACTTGAAATGTGATAGTTTTTTTAATCATTTAAACCCATCAGACTTGAAATGTGATAGTTTTTGTAATTATTTAAACCCATCAGACTTGAAATGTGATAGTTTTTGTAATCATTTAAACCCATCAGACTTGAAATGTGATGGTTTTTGTAATCATTTAAACCCATCAGACTTGAAATGTGATGGTTTTTGTAATCATTTAAACCCATCAGACTTGAAATGTGATAGTTTTTTTAATCATTTAAACCCATCAGACTTGAAATGTGATAGTTTTTGTAATCATTTAAACCCATCAGACTTGAAATGTGATAGTTTTTGTAATCATTTAAACCCATCAGACTTGAAATGTGATAGTTTTTGTAATCATTTAAACCCATCAGACTTGAAATGTGATAGTTTTTGTAATCATTTAAACCCATCAGACTTGAAATGTGATAGTTTTTGTAATCATTTAAACCCATCAGACTTGAAATGTGATAGTTTTTGTAATCATTTAAACCCATCAGACTTGAAATGTGATAGTTTTTGTAATCATTTAAACCCATCAGACTTGAAATGTGATAGTTTTTGTAATCATTTAAACCCATCAGACTTGAAATGTGATAGTTTTTGTAATCATTTAAACCCATCAGACTTGAAATGTGATAGTTTTTGTAATCATTTAAACCCATCAGACTTGAAATGTGATAGTTTTTGTAATCATTTAAACCCATCAGACTTGAAATGTGATCGTTTTTGTAATCATTTAAACCCATCAGACTTGAAATGTGATAGTTTTTGTAATCATTTAAACCCATCAGACTTGAAATGTGATAGTTTTTGTAATCATTTAAACCCATCAGACTTGAAATGTGATAGTTTTTGTAATCATTTAAACCCATCAGACTTGAAATGTGATCGTTTTTGTAATTATTTACAACAGAATACTCTTCTTTATTCTGAGTTTGAGTTGAATAATTCCTCCAAGGGAAATGAGTGCCTTGTCAGAAATGCTATGGCCACTAGGATACTTCTGGCCACTAGGATACTTCTGGCCACTAGGATACTTCTGGCCACTAGGATACTTCTGGCCTCTAGGATACTTCTGGCCACTAGGATACTTCTGGCCACCAGGATACTGCAGTCAAGTTTACACGACACATTTCTGGACATATTTAAAACCCTTGTTTTGCACTGTTTCCTTTAGGAGGCTGGTAAAGAAGTGAATATTTTCTTGGGTTATTGGGACAAAGAAAAGCATTTGGCTTGGCTTCAAGAAAATCCACAAAAGAGACCCAGACCAGCGGAAGGACGGAAGTAACTAAATACATTTTATTTCAATGAAATCCAAAGTTTCAAACTTAAAGTAACGGCATGAGCACGCTAATAATAATATAAACAAATTGATATTATATTATGTGGAAAGAGAAATTTAAAAAAAAAAATTTTTGAAACTCTTGTTCCGTTTATTCTACGTATTCATTATAAATTAGGGTACCGGTACTTATTTTCAAGTCCAATAATCAGAATAAAACTAATCAAAATTATTTTTGGGTGTGACTTGATGAACAAAGCTAAAAGATTTTTTATTTATCTTTAATGCTCACTACCCGATCCTTGACAAGAATTTATTCATGCGGTCAATAAGCTGCACCTGAAAAATTCATGGACAAAATCTATAATTTTAGAAGAAAACATGGCTTCCAATGTTTTCTTGGTCAGCATTTCTCCCAACTTGTCACTTTGTTTATAACAAAAATATTATATGTATTTTTAAACACCCATTTGTATCGCTTCAGACTTGTATCGCTTTACTATTCAAATGGTGATGTCTGTGATCTGACCAAGAAGCCTAGAAACTGTGAAGTACGCTTGAAGTGAGTTCATTTCACAAAGCTCTTATCAAGTACCTGCTTTTGTTATAATTCATTATGTTCTTCTTCACAGATATCTTGATTTTATTTTGATCGTATTAATTAAGCCTTCCCTAATGCATACATACTAATTCTTTATATTTGACTCTATACAAAAATGTTTTTCTACATTTGTAGGTGCTTGCAAAATCCCAAGATGCCACATGCTGTAGTGTTATCTTTAGCTGAACCTGAGTCTTGTCAGTATGTTTTAACTGTAAGTTTTACTTTAATTCTATATGAAGTATAACTCACAGAGTAGGGGAAAACCTGAATGATCACAAAACAAAACAAATGGACTTGTTCATGAGTTTCCTAGGGCCCAATCTAAAAATACCGAGAACGTTAACATCTTGCTGAAAATGGGTCCCCAACCTTCCATTTTTGATATGTAATGGGTCCCCAACCTTCCATTTTTTATATGTAATAGGTCCCCAACCTTCCATTTTTGATATGTAATAGGTCCCCAACCTTCCATTTTGGATATGTAATAGGTCCCCAACCTTCCATTTTGGATATGTAATAAAGAGTTTTCCAATACCTTGCTGAAAATGGGTCCCCAACCTTCCATTTTTGATATGTAATAAAGAGTTTTCCAATACCTTGTTTTTGATATCAATGTAGATTTTTTGAGTTTTGCTAGAGCTTAGAGCTAACTTTTTTTATTTTTTAAAAAGCTCTGGGCTTTTTTTTTGTGAAGAAAAGATATTACTGAGTTCAATCAGCAATGCATAAATAAGCATTACTGAATTTTCGATTCCGAAAATACAGAGAAACGGGTGGATAACGGGATATCTAAATTTTTAAAATTATAATAGATCTAATCTCTATATTTATTGAGCATGTTGGGAAGTCTAGTCCATAAGTGCCTTCATCTCAAATACTTATTGAATATCTAGTCTATAAGTGCCTTCATCTCAAATACTCATTGAATGTCTAGTCTATGAGTGCCTCCATCTCAAATACTTATTGAATGTCTAGTCCATAAGTGCCTTCATCTCAAATACTTATTGAATGTCTAGTTCATAAGTGCCTTCATCTCAAATACTTATTGAATGTCTAGTCCATAAGTGCCTTCCTCTCAAATACTTATTGATAAGTGCCTTCATCTCAAATACTTATTGAATGTCTAGTTCATAAGTGCCTTCATCTCAAATACTTATTGAATGTCTAGTCCATAAGTGCCTTCATCTCAAATACTTATTGAATGTCTAGTCCATAAGTGCCTTCACCTCAAATACTTATTGAATGTCTAGTCCATAAGTGCCTTCATCTCAAATACTTATTGAATGTCTAGTCCATAAGTGCCTTCATCTCAAATACTTATTGAATGTCTAGTCCATAAGTGCCTTCATCTCAAATACTTATTGAATGTCTAGTCCATAAGTGCCTTCATCTCAAATACTTATTGAAATCAATTTTAATTAACTGTTAACCTGTTTTATTTGTTTTTCAGTTTCATTGTCAACATAATTTTTATTATCACCTAATTTTTGTTGTTGTTTTATTTGCAGGTTGAATCTGCTATATTTTGTCCCATTATGAAAGATGCAGACGAGAATGGACTGTTTGATAATTTAGAAATCTGAATGTAGAACACAGGTGAATATTTTATTAGTTTAAGTTCAAGGAATATTTCCGATATCGTGACAGAGTTCTCTCCCATTAAGGCATATTTCTATGTTAGCCGAGCATCTGTGTGTAATAAATGCATATTTGATTGTTTGATATTTGATGTGGAACCATTACTCTGAGCACAAATTTTAAATATATCCTAGATGTCAATATTTTGGAGTTCATTTATGACGTCAGATTGGTGTAGGTCAGTTATGACATTAGATTGTTGTGGTTTTCTGCTAATGCCATCTCAGACTTAACACTTTCTGGACTTTGTATTAAGGTATTTAGTGCTCTGATGACCTCAGCACACAGCAGTGTTTCTAAATGTTTTCTGCAATCTTTTTAAAACAATGTGCTGTAAAAAAAAAATGCTTTAGCCACTAAGAATTCATTTTGAAATGTTTTGTAAAATCCATATGGGGTTTTCTTTCTTTGTAACTTGGACTGGAGTGTGTGTTATTTCATCAGTGTTGTTGTTGTCAGTGTTATATCATTACTGGGTGGTTGAAATTTTTGGGAAGTGTTACATTTTAATCTCTGATATGGCTCACCAAATGTAAACAATTCATCAATGAGATATGTTATGATCATATGTCAGTATATCTTAAGTCCTGTTGAGGAAGCTTAGACTTATTCTCACCTTTATAATTTTATCATTCTTGTGCATTATGGCAATTCATTCAATATTTATCCTATTTTTTAATTTTATTCTTGATCAATATATTTTGTATGGTAATAAGGGGAGAGACTGCATTTCCTACATATTTTGTATGGCAGTGCACAGTAAAATTCCAAACTAAGTTCTATTTTATTATATTTACTTTTAGGTTTGGGGGATAAATTTTATCAAATTATTCATCATGTTATTAAGTTAAGTTAAATGCCATCAGTGAATTTTTGATAAGCTCTTTTGTTCTAATTCTAAGCTGTGATTGCATTATGTGTGTTCATAAACTAAACATTGTGAGAGTTGATTTTTGAGGACTGGTACAGAGAGAGTTTTCATGGATCATTTTTGTCTTGTGGTTAGATATCATTTGGTTGATTGAATGTGTGCTTGCCGATGTTATACCATTTTGTACATTTGATATGTTGATTCTGAGTTCACTAATAAGCAGGTGCTTCCAGGTTTTCATGGCAGTAAGAAAATTAAACAATTTGGTTGCTGATTTGATGCAATTAATCATCTGTAATTATATGATTTAGTGAAATTCTGTAGTTTCTTTTATCTTGTAGAATTGTCATAGCCATGCAAGGATTCAGTAAATAGCTTATTTATTATAAGGTGTTGCTTTTAGATATTTTAAAAAATAATTTGTTGGTCATCCAAATATCTATGCAAGATTTTTTCTATTCAGATATAAAGATATGGCATGCAATGGTTATGGCATCTTATCTGTTCATACAGATACTCACAACAAAGATCAGATTTTAAAAATAATGTCTTTGGGTTTTGTTTTTTCTTTTGTTCAAGTTTTTAAGTGATATTTGTTCCATGTGTGTGCACAAAAATACTGCAAAATAGCAACAACACTCAACAGTTGCAAATTTAGAATTTATAAAATATCAACTTGGGATAGACAACATTCACAAATTTGGAATTTTTAAATGAATTTATTACCTTAAAAAGGCTCAAAATTGTGCACAAACTTGGAAAATTAAAAAAAAATAGTATGTACAAACATACAAACATCTCACTTTAATTTCTTTCTCAAGACAAAACGGATTGTCTTTCAGATCTATCACAATGGAGCCTTGTATATTTTAGTAGCATTAAAATTTACAACACAAAAATAAATCAAGGATGATATATTTACATTTGCATAGGTCTCTCAATTCTTATTTTACGTTTTAATACTTTCAATGTTTCCACGGGTGTCATAATGAGGCCATTTGCCACATATGAGCCTTAACAACAACCATCATAAACAATCATCATAGAAGTATTGATTTTATCACTTCAATTAGAGATCGTTTGCAATTATAAACAAAATAATAACTTAACTATAAGTCCTCAATGTGGATCAGGAACACTAACATTTAACATTTACATGATATATTTATCACTAATTATTGAATGATCGACTAGTGAACTGACTTCCAAAACTATTTTTTTAGTCCACTTCCTCAACAGTAGGTCCATTATGTTCACCAGAAGGCTGGCCACCACCAGGTGCAGACTGCCCTTGTGAATGCAGCTTAGCCATTACTGAGGAGGACAGTTTCTGGATTTCTTTTAACTTGTCCTCAAACTCTTCTTTTTCGGCCAGAGAGTTGTTTTCCAGCCATCTTGTTGTGTCGGTGCAGGCATTGAGCACAGTGCCTTTATCTGATTGTGAAAGTTTGTCTCCAGCCGCTTCGACAGCTTGTTTGACGCTGTAGATGTAACCCTCCAACTGGTTCCTGGCGGACACTTTTTCTTGCAGTTTCTTATCCTCGTCTTTATATCTTTCAGCCTCCGCCAACATTCGGTCAATCTCCCCTTGACTAAGTCGGCCTTTGTCATTCGTGATGGTGATGTTGTTTGATTTTCCTGTGCTCTTGTCCATGGCGGTGACATGAAGGATACCATTGGCATCTATGTCAAAGGTGACCTCAATTTGCGGTACGCCCCGTGGGGCTGGCGGGATGCCGGTGAGGTGGAATTTACCAAGGAGATTGTTGTCTTTTGTCATCGTCCGCTCACCCTCGAATACCTGAATGTCAACGCCAGGCTGGTTGTCGGAGTATGTTGTGAAAATCTGTGAAGTTTTGGTTGGGATGGTCGTGCCCCTCTTCACCAGAGCAGTCATTACACCTCCAGCAGTTTCAATGCCCAGAGATAGGGGAGCAACATCAACCAGTAAAACATCCTTGATTGTGTCGCTGGTGTCCCCCGTCAATACGGCAGCCTGTACAGCGGCACCATAGGCCACAGCTTCGTCCGGGTTGATGGACTTGTTCAACTGTTTCCCGTTGAAGAAATCTGTCAACAACTTCTGAACCTTTGGAATTCGAGTTGAACCACCAACGAGGACGACTTCGTCTATTCTTCCTTTATCGAGTTTTGCATCCTGTAATGCAGTCTCCACTGGCTGAAGAGTTGATCTGAAAAGGTCTCCGCAAAGTTCTTCAAATCTGGCCCTTGTGATTTTGGTGTAAAAATCAATGCCTTCAAACAAAGAATCGATCTCAATGGTTGCCTCGGTACTGCTCGATAGGGTTCTCTTGGCTTTTTCACAGGCCGTTTGAAGACGTCTGATGCACCTTGGATTTTTGCTCATGTCTTTGTTGTGTTTGCGTTTAAATTCCTGGACAAAATGAGCGACCATTCTGTTGTCAAAGTCTTCACCGCCCAGATGGGTGTCTCCGGCTGTTGCTTTGACCTCAAACACTGAACCCTCGTCAATGGTTAGAACACTGACATCAAAGGTGCCACCACCCAAATCAAAGATAAGAACATTCTTCTCACCTTTTAGTCCTTTATCAAGTCCATAGGCCAAGGCAGCCGCAGTGGGTTCATTTATGATCCTAAGAACATTGAGTCCTGCTATGGCGCCAGCATCTTTTGTAGCCTGTCTCTGCGAGTCATTGAAATAAGCTGGAACTGTGATAACTGCATCCGTGACTTTCTGACCAAGATACGCTTCAGCTGTTTCCTTCATCTTTGTGAGAACCATTGAGCTGATTTCTTCAGGAGCAAACAGTTTAGTTTCCCCTCTGTATTCAGCCTGTATTTTGGGACGTCCATCAACATCCACCACTTTGAATGGCCAGTGTTTCATGTCACTCTGGACAGTCTTGTCATTAAACTTGCGGCCAATCAGCCTCTTGGCGTCATATATTGTGTTGCTGGGGTTCAATGCCGCCTGATTTTTAGCAGCATCGCCGACAAGTCGCTCTGTGTCTGTGTAGGCCACATAGCTGGGTGTTGTTCTGTTGCCTTGATCATTGGCGATGATCTCAACCTTTCCATGTTGGAACACGCCCACACAAGAATATGTGGTTCCCAGGTCAATACCTATGGCTGGTGCTTTACCACTATAAGGCATCTGAAATATATAAGTTTTTTATATAAATATGATGATCAATTAAATATCTAAAATGAATTACTACAAAATGGATGCATGTAGATGGGGAAAATATGAGTGTGGCTTTCCTGTAAATGACGGGTATGTCAATTACACAACTATGCAATTGATATTACTTCTGAAATAAAAAATTGTCAAATGTGCAAGGAAAGATTAACAGAAAAATTATAAATTAAATTTAAAGCAAAATTGACTTTTAAAAACAACTTAGAACCAGAAATATTATTTATGACCACTTAAACTTTGTTTATAGGCCTAACCAAATTTAAAATGTACTTTTTTCATCAATTTCTTTTAAAATTATGTATTATAGTTTTCCCTCGGGTATTGTGTTATTAACAATCCTATTGTAGTGTTCTGATGTGATAATCGCCATCACCTACTTAGGCTAAGCAGAGCGTTGCCCCTGGAACCCTTGCGGCTACAACAGGAGACACTGTATATCAAAGGGGTCAAAAGTTGTGACATGATATAGAAAAAAATGGAAACTTAACTTTCATCACTAATCACTATCATTACCATCAACTTTGATTACTTTGAATGAATGGCCAGAAAAACGAAAAGTGGCATGGGGCATCCTAAAGTTCCACGATGGCCCTGGTTAAAGTTTGAAACTCAACAGCGTACTGAAAGAAAGAGAAAAGTGCTCTTACCTTTAATCTCTAATGGCTTTACAGTCAATTAGTGAAGCAGATGAATTAATTTCCAAAACAACGAAGTTCAGTTCAATCAAAATCAAACGATGTTGGCAGTTGAAACCAGCAATTAAATTTCTTACATGAAACTCTATTTGTATTAATATCCACTGAAGATATCGCTTAACTTGAATCTGAGTGGTGTGTGTTTTTCAGGCTTTAAATACCTATTGCCGTGGACCTTTGGAATTGTCGAGAATTGGCCAATTAACTCTCATGTCAACAAGAACCTCGTGGCAAATTCTCGATGACCTACTTTCAAAACGTAAACAAAGCTTTTTCTAAATTATGATTGGTTGAATGAGACGTTGATTATGTGCGCATGCTCAGTATATATTGACAAAAATAGAAACTATTGGGTTTTCCCGTGTTCTCGAAAATAGTAGAAGGCCTTGAAATAGAAATTGGAAACATGGATCCAAACAACATGTTTTCGTGTTTATTGTTTACACTTTTAGAGTACAATTTATTACAAATACTTATTTGGCACGATTTGTTACAATAGTGTCAATAGCAAACCGCACAATCTATGCCTACTCATTAACTCGCTGAGTTCAACCGCTGACTGTAAATTTAAAATTAATTATTTGATCTTGGTCTTGATAAAGTTAAAAAGTCATAAAAAAGTAATAACTCTCCCCCCCCCCCCCCCCATTTCTCATCACCAATGTTTCTTTCAAACAATCCCAATTGAAAATGAATCAATGTCCGCTGGCGTCAAACTCTAGCAACGCCTCTGAAAGTGTGTGTGTGGGGGGGGGTCAGCCCAGATATCACTTTGTCTTTCTTGGAGGGGCGGGATTTATGACAAATGCTGAGTTTGTATCGTTAATTGGAGCGTAACATAAATCTTGGGAAGATTAACCCTAGCTACTCCACTATGTAGTGCATGTATCAGCACTAACCCTAGCTACTCCACTATGTAGTGCATGTATCAGCACTAACCCTAGCTACTCCACTATGCAGTGCATGTATCAGCACTAACCCTAGCTACTCCACTATGTAGTGCATGTATCAGCACTAACACTAGCTACTCCACTAGGTTGTATATTATCTATCAGCCCTAACACTAACTACTCCACAATGTAGTGTATGTATCAGCACTAACCCTAGCTACTCCACTATGTAGTGCATGTATCAGCCCTAACCCTAGCTACTCCACTATGTAGTGCATGTATCAGCACTAACCCTAGCTACTCCACTATGTAGTGCATGTATCAGCCCTAACCCTAGCTACTCCACTATGTAGTGCATGTATCAGCACAAACAGTATCTACTCCACTAGGTTGTACATGTATCAGCACTCAGTAGCTACTCTGTTCTATTGTTTTTAACCCACTCTATTCCGGGGGGGGGGGGGAAGCTTTGCCTTCCGGGGGGGGGGGGGGGGGGGCGGCCCCCCCCCCCCCCCGTTCCCCCCTGAATGGGTCACCGCCTTCACAGTAATAGTACTCTACTACTCACCCAAAGCTGGCAGGTAACCGTGTAGACAGACTAAAACCAAAACGCAGGCAAACACAATGGGCTTCATCTCACTTCTTGCCGTCAATAATAACACTTGGAGAAAGGAAAGAAACAAAAAACACTACAGAAATAACACCAGATTTTCAGATGATATTCCCAAACAATCTCGGACCGATGTCACACGAGGATGTGTGTCTCTCAGGTCTCGCCACCGTTGTAGTCACAGCGCGTGGAGTTCACGTGTTTTAATGTTGATTNACAGTTAAATAACTTCAAATGTCCACAACATCTGATCTCGTCACAGTTAAATAACCTCAAATGTCCACAACATCTGATCTCGTCACAGTTAAATAACTTCAAATGTCCACAACATCTGATCTCGTCACAGTTAAATAACCTCAAATGTCCACAACATCTGATCTCGTCACAGTTAAATAACTTCAAATGTCCACAACATCTGATCTCGTCATTGACATGGCTAGATAAAGAAATAAGATGAATTTTGTGGCAAAATACTTTGATGTTCCTCCCTCCCCATTGGGTAGGATGTCAACCAGTGCAGTCCAACCCTCCCCATTTGGTAGGATGTCAACCAGTGCGGTCCAACCCTCCCCATTGGGTAGGATGTCAACCAGTGCGGTCCAACCCTCCCCATTTGGTAGGATGTCAACCAGTGCGGTCCAACCCTCCCCACTGGGTAGGATGTCAACCAGTGCGGTCCAACCCTCCCCACTGGGTAGGATGTCAACCAGTGCGGTCCAACCCTCCCCACAGTGACGCTACTGCCTAGGACTGTACATGGCTAGGGAAGAAAGATGTAACACATAGAACAATCCTTGTGTATGTGGTGGTGGGGGACTGCTCCGCTGATACCACTCTTCCCTATGTGGAGCCAGTTCATTTTACGATTATTTGTTGGGGAATGGGAAGCAGTGAGACAACTTAAGAAAGAAACACGACTAATAACACATCCCTGTAAACTACTATTTGGTGCACATGCCTTTTAAACAAGTATTAATTCAGCATTACAGTTTTATGTGTGTTCCCGTTAATTTGATGTATGAACAAGTTCATCAAACTAAATTGGGAGCATTTTGTTTAAAAAAACATCATCATTGATTTAAACTAATAAATCTGTTAATGAAGAGCTAAGCAGGGTATGAGTGCATTTGTGGTCTATTTGTGGCATGTTCAAAAGTTAGGCACTTTATTTTGTTTGATGTGCACCAAATTGTATTTTACAGGGCTTTGGATTTATTTGAACATGCTGAGTAACATTTACACCCTTGTTTCTTTGTAGGAAAGGAAGATGGAAGCTTAGCAGCAATAAGTCCTTATAGCATCCAGTCAGTTTCATTTTTTAGTTGCTGTCAGTAGTAGTGGAGTCGCTCAAGTATTATAAATTATAGTAGAGATTTACTATATACTCATAAACAAAAAGGCTTGATATATTAAAAGACATGAAGCATTTGTTGGGAATGATAATTTATATTATGAATTTATTGATACTTTTTAAAATATTTAGTTATTTCAACTCACAAACAAAAACCACAATGGGCAATGCATGCATGGCTAACCCTAACAAAGAAGTTGGTCTGGACAATGCATGCATGGCTAACCCTAACAAAGAAGTTGGTCTGGACAATGCATGCATGGCTAACTTCATTATAAACAAGTGACACCATCATTAAATGTGAAATTTCACATTTATTAATTCTTACATCTCATTTTTTATGTTTATACAATTCGATATAAGGCAAGGCATATTCTCATGTGCGCTCCAAATATAAAAATCATGACCACATCTCAAAATCCACCAATAAAGAAGGCAAATTAAAATGCCTTTTTTTGTGTTTTGTTCAAGCACCAACAATATGCCATACAAAAAAGATTGCTTTATATAAAACTGTAAAAGTACTGTTACACCTACAGCAAAGAATAACTTTTTCAAATTTACAACTTGAAAGAGATGCAAATAAAAATTAAACTTTGATTTCTCAAGTGCATTATAATTTTTTTAAGAGACACATTTTTTATTACATTCTTTTTTTTTTTTTAAATTCTAAAATGTAAATTCCTACCTTTATTGGCTCTTTTTAAAAAAAACTTTTTTGGTATTCAAAATATTTATTTA